CTGAAAAACAGCCTCTTCCATTTGGAAACAGCGACAGCCCAATGGGTCTCTGGCATCCAGGACTTCCAGAATCACATCAGAGTATTCCACCACCTAAAAGGTAGAGGACAAGGGTATGAGAATAACGAACAGACGAGGTAACAGTTAAGCAGACTATTAAAGAAAAAAGCCTGCAGCTCTAGGGAAAAAAAGAAATAGAGCAAAACAAAACAAAAAAAAGGCTAGACATGGTGGGGTGCACATCTATAATCCCATCTATAATCCCAGCACTCAAGGTTAAGGCAGGAGGACTACTTCAAGTTCAAGGCCAGCCTGGGCTACATAGTGAATTCAAGACCAGCCTGAACTACATAGGGAAGCCCGGACTCAAAATACCAAAAAAAAAAAAAAAAAAGAGAAGAAATAAAGAGTTGGGCTCTACTCAAAGGGCCTTAAGAAATAAATGAATTCCTGTCTGGCATAGTGGCACACACCTATAATCCCATCCCTTAGGAGGCTGAATCAGGAGGATTATCCCAAACTCAAGGCCCGCCTGAGCTACATAGCAAGATCCTGTCTGAAAAGCAAAGCAAATCAATCTCTGTACCTTGCGGAACTCCCTGTAAAAAGCCCTTCTTGAGGCCTCATCATCCAACTGAGGAAACGTATTTAATTCCTGCAAAACTTCCTCCTAAAAGAAAAAAAAAATGATCCAGGGAAAAAAGGGAGGTGAGAAAGAGTGCCAGGGATTTGGAACGTACAGAAAACTAGGGAAGCCAGATGAGTCCCAGCCCACCAAAAAACAACTTTGACCAACCAACAACTGGGCACTGGGACAAAGGCAGATAAACCCATATGGTACATATGTGTGCCTATGTGGATATGTGTGCTGGCACACCAGCCAGTGCCGAGTGTGCACAGGGATGTGTAAGGAAGGGATGGGAGAGGGGCTGTGACAAAATCTATGGGGGACATAGAATGGGTCATGGCAAACCTGTATTGTATGCCAAAGAAGGGAATATGAGTTTGCAAGTATATATTCTATGTGTGAGACAAGAACAAATGGCATAAAGGTAGCAACGAGGCCCAGAAGGAAGATGAGCTCCCCCACATACGCTCCTCTCTGACTCACTCCTCCCTTCATACCCTCATTCCCTCTCCTCTTCCCTTACCGTAGTCACACCTCTCCCCACTAGACACCTACCCTCACCACTCCCAAATTTTAAGTTCAAGCCTGGGAGCGATAACTTCTCCACAGGTCTCCAGCCACAGGTAATGCTGAAAAATGATCTTTACTCCCCTCTCCTCCTTCCTGCTCTAGCTCCACTATTTTCCTTCCACTATACTCATTCTTTTCTTCCCTCCAACAATTGCACATCTCTCCTTACCGCTTCTCAGAGCAATGGCAAACCATACCAATCCTGCTGAGGAGCAAGGACTACCCTTTTACCTTGCGTTCAAACTCCTCCTGACGTCTCAGGACATCCTGACAGTAATTCTCAATGGTTCTGTGCTTGTGTTTCTCTTGCTCCCGGGCAGCTTGCTGCTTCTCCCTCATCTCCTCAACCTAACAAGTAAACACAGACTGAGAACGTAGCTTATTGGGTCTATAGCTTAAGAAAGTGATGAGTGACAAACAGAAGAAATGGCATGACATGAGAGAGTTGGGAGTAACAGGAGTACAAGTAGAGCATAAAGAGGACAACAGTAGAGTGAGAGGAAGAAAAAGAGAGATACAGGAAGGGTTGAGAAGCAGAGAAAAATAATAAGCAGAGAGAATGCATTCTAGGGAGAAGGGACCTCTTAAGACTATAGGGAAAGAGAACAAGATCCTAGAATATATCATTATTTTAAAAAAAATCAAAGGGCCAGCCTGATAGCTCAGTAGACTAAAGCACCTGAGCGCAGCAGCTGGAGTCTGATCCCTGGCCTGCAGTGCTGGCCCCACCCACAGGGCACACTGAGAAACAACTGATATTGGGCGTGGTGGTGCATGCCTGTAATCCCAGCAGTGGGGAGGCTGAAAACAGGAGAATCACTATGAGGCCAATCTACATAGTGAGACCCTGTAGACCCTGTCCTAAATACAGAAAAAAACTGAAGAAACAAGGGCCAGCGAGATAGCTCAGCAGACTAAGTGCCTGCTTTGGCAAGCGCAAGGACCAGGGCTCAATACCCAGTCCCGTATGCCTCATCAGCTCTGCCCCCAGGGCTTGCTGAGCCAGTGACTGAGTACTGAGGCTGGGTACAGTGGCACATGCCTGGGGGTAGGCTGAAAATAGGAGGATCACCATGAGTCGAATCTGCAGAGTGAGACCCTATACCAAATACACAAATGAAAAAAATAAAAAAAATCAAGAAAACATACATAAATAAAAATCAAGAATAAGCCAAGTATAGTGATGTGCTCCTGCAATTTTCACATTTGGGAGAATGAGGCAAAAGAATCACTTGACCCCAGGAGTTCAAAACCAGCCTGATGGCTGGGCATGGTGGTACATGCATAAATCTCAGCACTCAGAGGCTAAGGAAGGACAGACACAAGTTCAAGGCCAGCCTGAATTACATAGCAAGAACCTATTTTTAAAAAGTGGAGGAAAGAATAGCTAAACAAACTGGAAAAGGTTGTTCACAGGAGATAGCTAGGACAATGAGATGACAAAGTCAAAATCAGAGTGCTTCAAAGAAAGCAGTGGCCTCAAATGCTGAGAATCCTGCTAAGATGAAAGAAAAAACTACCTACATATTCCACTCAAATAAGGGAAGAAAACTATCCACACAAGGGATGGTATTGGTGATACCAGCAGGGGTGGTTTCAGTGGAGCAGTGGGAACATAAGCCAGGTGTTAATGGATTGAGACATGAGAGGGAGGTAAGCAGAGACACTAAATTCAGTACCAAGTTAACCTCCCTCACTTCCCTCATCCACAGTTTGAAGAATCCTCACAACTCTCTTCTCTGCCCTTCTATCCAACACTTCTACAGACTGAACATTTAAGCCAGGGACTTTCTCCCAGTCAATGTAAAGAACTCACCCTCTTCTTCTTTAATGCCACCTCTCGGCTGGCGTGATCATTGCAGTGAACAAAACGGGAAGTGGAGGACACTCTGGAGGTTGTTTTCTTCCCATTTTGCTTTGCGGGCTGCTTACCAGACAAGAAAAAACAAATAAAACAGCTAATGAACCCATGGAAATGATCCAACCTCTGGACAGGTAGGACCTAAAGTTGTTCAGAGGGCAGTTGTGAGGAAAAAAACAATAGGCTAAAAAAAGGCTCTGTCCCCAGAGATCTCCCCTAACAAGGTATGGACTGACTGAAGAAGTCTAGTGGTAGGGGTAGGGGAAGGGGCAGGGGTTCCCAGGATGACTTTTCAAGGCTAAAAGAAAAGGCTTCTATACAAGTAATTCCCAAAATGTGGTCCTTGAGCCAGCAGCAGCACCACCTACGGACTTGTAAGTAATACAAATTATCAATGGTTTCTCTTAGGTGATAAACCCAATATATAAATAAAGTACAAAAGACAGAAAATGAGAAAAAAAGTTAATATAATCCAGCATGGATAATTATCTAAAAGTATACCTTGATTTAGTATTATGTTTTATGTTTTTTGACCTGTTAGTCTAGCTATTGATCTGTATGTGTAATTAACTTTATAAGGACTTATATATGCCTGCAGTCCCAGCACATGGAAGGCTGAAGCAGGACAATGGCTGTAAATTCAAGGCTAACCTGGGATACAGAGTAGTGAGTTCAAGGCTAGCCTGAAATATAAAGTGAGACCTTCTCTCAGAAAAGAAAAGAAGGGGCCAAGGAGATAGCTCAGTAGAATAAGCGCTTGTGTAGCAAGCACAAGGTCCTGAGTTCAATCCCTGGTACCTCAAATAAATAAATACAGTTGAGGAGGGTTTTTGAAAGAAAAAATATAGATACCCAACAGTCTATGTTTTAAGCAAACCTGCAGGCAATTCAGGAGTGCTTTTAAATCTTACCCACACTGACATTTCAGAACCCAAGATGATATTTAAGTTTCCCTCTTCCCCCTGAGTAACAGGGAACTAGAAATCAAAATGGCTTAAGTCCTAGCTGTGATACTTTGAACCCAGGAACTTTCTCACTGAAGCTGTTTTTTCTTTTTTTTTTTTTTTGACAGTTTCAAAACAGTTTAGTAGGACAGCTACAATAATTAATACATTGCATATTGTTGTCTTCATAGTAGTTATTTATAGTACAAGATGCAGATATGATATCTTGTCTAAACACTATTAGTACAAATCTTTCTTCTGATTGAACTAAGAAAAAGTAGCTATATATCTATCCTATTGTTTTTTTCATTTAAAAAAATAAAATAAAGATAGCCAGGGAGATGGCTCAGTAGAATAAATGCTTGCCTGGCAAGCGCAGGAGCCTGAGTTCAATCCCCAGTTCCGCCAAAAATAAATAAATAAAATAAATAAATAAAAAATAAAGATGGATGAGCTAGAGATAGAGTGCAGTGGTAGAGCATTTGCCTGGCATGCATTTAAGGCCCTAGGTTCTACCTTCAGCACCATCAACAGGGGAAGGGGGATAATTCTTTTCAAACTAAATCAAGAACAAAACAGTATATGGCTTAGGGTAGGAATTTAATACACACTACTGCTAATTCTCTCCCACAGCTACCCAGAAGGAGAAAAAAGGTCAGGTATGTTAATTCTACTGTGGTACTCTATCTACTCACCCATTATCTACTGACCTGATCCCCAATTTCCCAGTAATGGGCATATCTCACCTGAAGGGAGTACCAACTTACCTTCTTACAGCCTTTGGAACCTTTACCTGACTTTTTAGTTTCTACAAAAAAAAAGAAGAAAGAAAGAAAGAAAAAGAAAAAGAGAAAGAAGCCATTACTCACCTGCCCAACATTTACTTATACCTTAATCAAAGCCAGGTTATACTAGGAAACTAAGAAGGCTCAGACACCATGACTGTCTAGATTTAGCACAAGGCACAGACACAAGCAGCAACAAAAATATCAGACAAAGTAATGGATATAGTTTTTATAGAAATATTTCAATACAAAATCAAATAATTCTTGGGTTAAGCTTGGTGGCACTTGCCTATAATCCTAGCACTCTGGAGGCTAAGGCAGAAGGATTGCTATGAGTTCATGGCCACCCAAGGCTACATAGTGAGTTTGAGGCCAGACTAAACTAAATAGTAAGACTTTGTCCCAAAAAATGAAAATAAAATCAAATAATTCTTAAGGGTATTCTGCAGAATAATCTGAATATGTGTTTATAACCTCCCCCTAGTAGGAAGTAGGAAGTCCCTAACTTCCTACTTGGGACCCCTCAATAATTTCAGTGTCATGTGTGGGAGCTGGCAGCATGGGAGGTGCCATGAAGAATCCCAGCAGACAAAGTCTAGATAGATTCTCCTCAGCATGTACAGAAAGAACAATGCCTTGTTGCCGCTGCCTCCACAAGAACTTAACTACTCAGTTAAACTGCTGCCACCCTTGGATCCTAGGTGGAAAGAACTGACAGTTTTCTAATCAGGCCTTAACAAAGCCCAGGAACTTAAGAGGACTCTCCCCATGTCAAAGAGAAGTCCCATTGTCAGCCTCTTCAAAGCTGGTCTCCTGAAGAAAAAATGGCTTCCCTTAATTTTCACCACATTCAAGAGTACAAAAGGATTTCCAACAGAGGAAGGAGATTCTGAAAAGACAGGATATATATAAATATATTAACAGCTCGAGAATACCACAGAAAGAACACTGACATATAATGGATATCACTGAAGCAGGACCCTCAGTTCCTCATATGTCCATACCATACTTTTCTAATGAAAATATGTACTTCAGATAACAGTAGCTGGTTGTACAGGACTAATAGGTGTGTACACATGTGTCAAAGTGTAAATTGGTAAATTTAAGTCACATTATGCACCAGGTTACATTTATAGCTTATATTAAATGTTCTTTTGGGCTGGAGAAATAGCTCAGTAGTCTAAGCACCTGCCTGGCAAATGCAAGGACTCAGGTTCGATCCCTGGTACCACATGCCATGCCAGCCCCGGAACCTGGGGTGTGCAGTGCCACTCCCAAACTGGGCATGGTGGTGTATACCTATAATCCCAGTGCTGAAGAGGGAGGATCACTATGAGTCTGAGCTGCATTGTAAGACCTTGTACCAAATAATTAAATAAAATATTAAAAATTAAAAAATAAAATAGATGTTCTTTTTATTTTTCTTGTAGAATTAGTAATGTTGCATGAAAATCTACGTTTACTACTTTGGGAAGAGGTCAAAAGGTGACTCAGCTACCAATAATGACTTGGATCATGTAAACCAAAGAAGTAAGCAATTTATGACAGAGAAGTACAGAATGCAGACATTGATTCAGATGAGAAAAAAATAATGTAAATGAATATTTGACTAGTCAAAATGTCATAAAATGGTTGCATATACTTGAACAGTTAGAACTAGGTCAGAACATATTACTAGATTATTGCCACAGTTGAAACCTAATGAAACACAAAAACATTCTATATACATCAATAGAAATACTCAAAAATAAATTTATCATGGTACCTTATTATCTAAACTAAAAGCCTTCATAGAAGGGTTTTTTCATTCTAATCACCAGACTGTAAAGGATTTATAGAGAAGTAACAGATGTGGCTTTGAGATTTTTAAATAAAAATATTAGCATTCCAGAGATTTGGTTTCTTTCAAAATTGCCTATCTTTTGAAAACAAAAAGACTTGCCAAGAAAGAAAAATATCTGACAATTTGGTTGGCATTTGCTCATTTGTTGAAGATTTGTTTTAAACTGGTAAGCAATTTATACACCATCCAGACACATGACAATTGATGAACAATTTGCATTATTTCATAGTTGTTGAAGCTTTCAGCAATATATGCCAAGTAAACCTTCCAAGTATGGTACAAAAATATATGCCCTGGTAGATGCAAAGACTTTTACACCTTGAATTTAGAAATTTATCCTGGAACTTGGCTACCAGGTTGCTCTTCCTGCAGCAATACATCATATGATTTTGTTAACTTATTGCAAGACTGGGAGTAGTGGCATGTGCCCTTAATCCCAGATCTTGGGAGGCTGTAAACAGGAGGATCACTAAGAGTCCGATCTAGCGTGAGACCCTGAACATCCTATAGACCCTTCCCTAAAATACAAAAAAAAACCCACTTATTGCACTTATTACAAAAAGTAAACAAAATTTTACACTCGACAATTGGTTCGCTAGTTACCCACTGAAACATTTGTTTTAAAAAACAACAGTTAAAAAAACACCTGTTAACTATCACAGCTGAGATTCCTGGAAAAATGTTTCAAGTTCACACTAGAGACATGTCTAGTACATTCTTTGGATTTCACACTAGTCTTGAGCCATGTAACCCCAGGCTGGCCTCAAATTTGCAGCAATTCTCCTTCCTCTGCCTCTCAAGTGCTGGGATTTCAGGTGTGTGCCACCACACCCGGCTTAGCTTATTAACTATATTTAAAAACCTTATTTTAATGTTATAAAGTAGACTTAATTGAACTTCCAGAAAACTGGAGAAGTGGTAGGCAGCAGAGAAATAGTCCCACTGTGATTTGGTGTCCATTTGCTGAAATATAGCTAACGGTAGAGAAGTAGGAGGAAGGGCGGAGGAAAATGGGCCTCTGAAACTCAGGAAAGATCTAAAATGAGAATTGAAGCCCAAAGAGAGAAGCTTTAATGAAGAAAAAAACAGGAGCAGCGCTTTATAATAAGCAGCGCTTTGTCTGTGACTTCTGACTCACTGCTTGGGAGGGGTGACTTGACCCTGCAGACACACAGTGACTACTGGCGACCCCAGAGGCTTCCAAGGAGAAATACACCAGTGGAATGTAGCATTGAACATAGAAAACTGCAGTGGGGATGCAAAAAAATCAAGTTTTATCATATAAAGATATGGATTCCCTACAATGAATGTGATCATTACTTATACTTAAAAATGTATCAATAAGCTTATTTTTTAAAAAAAAAAAAAGCTCTGTAAATAAGGAGGGAAGGAGGGCTGAAAGGGAGGAGTGGGGGATGGGGGAAAAAGCAGTAGCAAGATATATCATGTACAGGAACATCTCCCTATGATGAATGTGATTGTTACATATAAGTAAAATATACCAATGAATAAAAGGAAAATATTTTTTTGGAGACAGAGTCTTGCTAAGTAGCCCAGACTGGCCTCAAACTCGCAGCAACCTTCCTGTGTGAAAACTGCCTTAGGTGTGAAAAAGATTATTTTTGTGGTTGTTTTATGTATTTGTATTTTCATTGTAGTTCACGTAACAATTTATTGCTATTATTTTTTAGCAGGTAAACAGTTCATGTTGAAAATGTTCATGTTTATACTAAGCACTCATTACATATTTGATATTTTATTTTATTTTATTTTATTGATATTTTATTTCCTGTTAAGAGGACATTGAATAATAGGAAGCTCCCGACAAGAGAAAGACAAAAGAGGTGACAAGTACGGCCTGCCAAACAGGAAAGGAAAGCTAATCACACATGTTGCCAGTGTAAGTGAGACTTGGTGTATGGAATATGCTATTATTGTCAAGTGTGATGACTAAAGCAAAAATTATTTCTGTGGCAGAGTTTTGTTTGTATTTTCATTGTACTTCACGTAGATTTTATTTCTGCTATTATTTTTCAGAACTTGCAGGCAGATAAACCATTGATACTGAAAATGCTAATATTTATTCCAAACATCCAGTACATATTAAAAACTTTAATGGATGCAACTAGAGACCATACTCTTAAGTGAAATAAATCAGACCTGCATGTGCAAACATCATATTGTTTCCTTAATGTGAAAACCTAAAAGAAAATGGAATCTGAAAGGTACAATAAATACTTGGAAAAGGGAATGCATTTATTCAAATGGAAAGAGTTACTGATTTGAGGAGGACAGGAGAGGGAGTGGGGGGAAGAGATTTATCTACGTATGTAAGCAGGATGGTTTGGACAACTATACTGTGCATTTCTGCTGGTCTATGGAAAGAAGCAGTTAATGCTTTGTTTGTCTCTTTTGCAATTTGTACTTTTTCTCTTAATTTCTTTTTTTATTTTTCTTTTAGGGAAGGGTCTACAAGGTGTTCAGGGTCTCACTACTAGATCAGACTCATAGTGATCTGCCTGTTTATAGCCTCCCAAGAGCTGGGATTACAGGCACAGCACGCCAAGTCTCAATTGCCTTCTCAGTGCACCCCGGGGCCCATGAGCCTGCTTGCAGGCACTTCAATCCGCTGAGCTATTTGGCCAGCTCTTCTTAATTTCTTATACATTTCTTTCTTTTTTTTCCTTTCTTCTTCTAATTTTACATGCATATAACTGGTAATATGAATAACTGGTTGGAAGACAACACTGTACAACAAATACTGTGAAATTCATATTACTCTGTTAAGTGAAATTCTGCATCATTTGCAATTTTTTATTTTAAATCTAATTCGTACTCTTTAAAAAATAAATTTTTTTAAAAATTTAATATTTTACTGTTATTTTGTTTTCCTGTTTAGTACATTGTTTAATGTAATAAAACTCAGGGCCGGGAAGATGGCTCAGTAAGTAGAATAAGCCCTTGCCTGGCAAGCGCAAGGGCCGAAGTTCAAAACCCAGTTCCGCCAAAAAATAATAATAATAAAACTCATAAAATTAAATTTAATAATTTATCAATAGAAATACTGCTACAATAAGCCGAGCATGTTGGTACATGCCTGTAATCCCAGCACTCGGGAAGCTGAGGCAGGAGGATCATTGTGAGTTCGATACCAGTCTGGGCTACAAAATGAGCTCAAAG